TGAACACCCTGCTTCGTCCCAGCTTGCTGAGGACCCGAGCCCCATGGGGCACATCACCGGCTTCTCCAGCACCAGCAAGGCATAAGCCACTGGCTCCTCATGCACTGTGTTTGGGTGTAGGGTTTAAGGTTTTCGAGCTGGTTTAGGATTGAGGGCTTTCTTTCACGATTGAAGGTTTAGGGTTTGGTAGGGTTTAGGGGTTTAGGGTTGAGGGCTTTCTTTCAGGGTTGAGGGTTCAGGGGTTAAGGGTTGAGGGCTTTCTCGTTTAGGTTTTACGGTTTGGGCTTCAGGGCCTGGAGAAAGAGTGGGAAATGCTCGAATCAATCCCGAGGCAAAACCACGCATGGACGGTAGACCGCTGCCCTGCTGATGTTGCACGAGCCCATTCCTGATCATCTGTTATACATTGCGAAATCTACACGATATGGGATGCTTATACTGTGCATCTATATTTAAACCTACATATGCGTCAGTCTCATACAGGCTTCAGAGGATACACCCTAAACAAGTACACAAGCGGAGCCCTTGACCCCAATCTGTTTTAAACCCTAACCCCCCTAAGAGCCTAAGAGTCTGTATCATCCACCTTACGCCCTAAACCTTAAATCCTGAACCCTAAATCCTACAAAACAAACCCCTAAACCCTGCACATTAAACCCTCAATGCCCTCTTTAAAAAGCCCCTTAAAAGACACCCTAAACCATCCCCTTAAAGGCCCCTTAAAAAGCGAGACCCTGAACCCCAAAACGAATCCTGCACGACCCTGTATCGTCTCCTCCGTTGCAGGAGGTAGCCCGGGAACCTCACAGCGCTGCGCCTCAGAGTAAACCCCAAGGGTCCAAGTACCCAATCATCATGAGTGTAGCAACCTGGGGTGTAGGGTTTAGGCCCTACCCAAGTACCCAACCATCATATGGGAGTTTCCGAAAATTAGGGGTACTTTATCTTGGGGTCCTTATCATATGGTTCCTACTATTTAGGGTACTATATTAGGGTCCCCTATTTTCGGAAACTCCCATATACTCTCAAGAATTGTAGCCTACTTTTTTACTGGGTCCTTTCGACCCCTTGGGGGTAAGGGCTTTTCGGGGCGAGGTCTTTGGGAAATACGGGGCTGGGGTTTAGGGTTTAGGGTTTAGGGGTTTAGGGGTTTAGGGTTTAGGGTTTAGGGGTTTAGGGGTTTAGGGGTGCAGGGTTCAGGGTCTAGGGGTTTAGGGTGGGTATAACGTCAAAAATTATAGAAACCTTTCAGAAATGCAGCAGCACCGAATAAGAAACCCCATACGGTACGGATCATAGTGCCCCCCCATAGCTGCTTAGGCCTCCGTAATTATCCGACAAGAACGGAATAGTCCTCTAAGGGGATCCTACATCGGGCAACGAGGGCCTGGGGAACTGCTGACTAAGTCTATGCTGCGTTGCGATGTCGATTTTGCAAGTGCCCGGCGAGCCAGGAGAGCAGGTACAGAACTCGATCCCGATCCTGCAAAGATTTAGGATTTAGGCCTTGGAGGTTTCGGCCTTTCTGGCCTAAACCCTATCTAAACCCAACCTAAACCCCCTAAACCCGTATACCCTGGACCCTTCACCTCAAACCCTGAACCTTACAAACCCTAGGCCCTAGTCCGGAAACAAGAGCTTGCCTGGGACGCATCGGACCCAGATTTTCTCGATGGTACTTAAAGGATCATGGTACTTAGTAAGTTGGGCTGAAAGTAGGGCAACTATGCTCATAATTACTTATAACCCCAATTACGGTATTTATAACCTTACTTACTAAGTCCCCTGATCCTCCAAGTATGATAATAATGCATGTGGCTTCGAGGTCCAAAGGTGTCTCGGCTTCGAGGGAATCCTAGAAGGGACTTGGACTTGGGGTTAAGGGGCGCTCCCTCTACGTGCGACGGCTGGCTTTTGAAGGTTCCATGACAATGAAACCCACACATATTTGTGGGCACCTATATTTATCTACACAAGTTTGAATAAATCCGTAAACGAACAAATACACTAATTGACAACCAGATATGGGTAATGTGTATATAACTACATATACGCCGAATACCTCCCAAACAAAAGGCAGCATCCGGCCAAACGGTTGATGATATAAATCCTGCATGACCTTAAGGACCCTAAACAACGGGAATTATGGTACATTCCTTATTATGGGTAATGCAGGATTTATATCATCAACCGTATCTTCTCCCACTTCATGTATGGTCAATTCCTGGTCAAGCAGTCCTTCAGCGGAACCACACTTCTGCTTTCCATCCTGGGGAAAGACATTTCAGGTCAACGTCTCCCTCGCCCTTACGGTTTGGGGCTTTGGGGCTTAGGGGCTTAAGGCTTGGAGCTACCCTAAACATCCCAACACACTAAACTCTATTCCTTGAAAGAATCCGGCTGTCAACTCAGCCAGGCACGACGACGCCAAGGGCAGGTTCTCCTGTTAGCAAGCAGAAGCAAACAGCGAGAAGCAGGCCGTCTTGGGAGGACAGCTACGTGAGGTTCAGGATTCTTTGTAGCCATGCAGGTGGCTTACCTACCACTGGGCCGCAATGCATGTCAATGCCCTCCCCATGCAACTAGTCTAGTGTCTTCAGTCTTGCGGGAACCGGAACCTGGACGGCCTGGACCAAACCGAGGATCCCACTGGACGACACAAAGTCCGCGGGGTTTGCGCTGCGTGCTCTAGACTGAGACGGGTGTGATCCTGAATCCTGAACCTCCATCACAGCTTGCAAATCATGCCCAAAACTTGTGAGTGCTGCGAAGATATCCCTGTCAAGCCATCAAAACAAGCAGAGAACAAGGCGGCTTCTGACTTGTCAGAGGACTCCTGCTGCAGCAGCGCCCCACTCGACGGGTCGTAACTGGCAGGCAGGGGAAGTCCAACAACAGGTGCTTTGCAGACAGCCTGGGTTCTTGTTAAGGGAGTTACCATAATAGGGATCCATAGTACATCACATGGTATCATCTGGTGTCCTTGCTATGGTACCTTAAATTAAGTCTCTTAACACGACCCCAGCAGCAGATATTGCGACACGTTGAGGATCGCTCTCTTGCTTCTCGTGAATACACAACTACCAGTGCAGCTGAATTTCAAACTGAGCGAGATAATATACTTAACGTAACATAGTATATTAGAATAACATAATATAGCAGAGTACAACATGATATAATGTTGTGTAACATACCAGAATATATAAGCTTGAGCTCAGCACCTCAACTGGGTGACCTCCCCCTTGGAGACGCCATTCAGCTCGAGAAGTAACCTGCCCGGCATGAAAAGTCAAAGAAAGGTTTAAGCTTTTAGGGTTTAGGGTTTAGGGCTAGGTTCCTGAGTAGCCCCTTATTAATAATCAGGGTGCCGTTTTTCCTTCCATTTGCCTTGAATAAGGGAACACGAAAGGAAAAAGGGCAAAAGGGAACAACTGGGGAAAATCAAAGATGCGGAGTGTTGGAAAGCAGGGCCACGGAGAGTCGCCACATCTTCTCACTTCCCTCCAGGGTTTATGGTTTAGGGTGCTGGGTTTAGCGTCCAGGGTTCAGGTTTTAGGGATTACGGGAGATACCTGGGCCCTGCTGAAGCTACCGTGGAATGCTCTGAACTTTCGGTACAATGTTGGCAGGTTATTCGCCGATGCCATGGAGACCGCCGGTGTCTGCTCCCTTCCAAGAAGAGTTAACACTCACCGCCACAGGCCCTAGGCATTATAAGAAGAACAGGAGCAATCGTATGCCAAACACGGGTAAGATCAGTAGCTACAATCATAACTGAACAGTAACAATCATTGTCATCCTCACGTGCTTCTGCCGGCTAGCCCCTAAACCCTAAACCCAGGGAGATTAGCCTCAACCCTAAACCCTAAACTTTGAACCCTAAACCCTAAACCCTAAACCACCGAGACCCGATACTTGTACTGATGGCAGCAGTAGTAGTAGCAGTAGTAGTAGTAAGAGTAGTAGTAGTAGTAGTAGTAGTAGTAGTAGTAGTAGTAGTAGTAGTAGTAGTAGTAGTAGTAGTAGTAGTAGTACTACTACTACTACCCTAAACTCTGAACCTTCTGCCCAGCTTGCCTCCCAGGTTCATCGGCGGGGGCAAGGCTGATCTGATCCCCGTCGGCATTGACATATTCCACCGCCGCATTGGCCCTCAGGGGTTCCGGGTCAAGGGCTAAGACGGCAGATGATTGGAATATGTATAGTATTTCTGGGTTTCGGGTAAAGGGTTTATAGGGTTTAGGGTTGAGTTATGCAGTATTTATGTATCGAAGTGTGCGGGTGTGGGTGTAGGTGCGGGTGTGAGGGTGGGGTGTGGATGCGAGCATGGGTGTCTCTGCGTAGGAGTATGCAGATGCATGCATGCATGGATGGATGGACGGAGGGAGGGATGGATGGCATGGATGGCATGAATGCCATGGGTGGGTCGCAGGGAGCGCATGGATGGCACGGCACGGCACAGCATGCAGGGATGGATGTGCATGCGTGCCATCCGCCCGCCCGCCCACCCCCACCCGCCCACGCACGCACCCACCCGACCACTGTATGTATAGGCATATACGCACACACGAAATAGAAAAGCACCTACAAACATACAAACATACATACATACATACATACATACATACATACACGAACCTACCTACAAGCATGCAAGTGTGCATGTACCAACAACACATACCTGCATTTATGCAGATGTCATATGTCATATACATACGACATATACATGCGCATATGACAGCAACACATAGTCAAAGCCAGAAGCTAGAACAGATAGTATAGGTCCTATATAATTACCTATACTATTTTGGGGATTCCTTATTGTAACTATAGTATCATAAGCCCCAAAACCTATTCTAATTCTCTACGGCCCCTATACTTAGCCCCATAATAACTCTTTTAGTAACACCTTTAAAAAGATCCCTTAAAGGAGCCCTCAAAGGGCACCCAGAGGAGATGAACCTCTGGGCTTTTTTCTGAGGAGGCTGCTGCCAGAGCTCCTCGACGTGCAAGTACGAAGGGGAGAAGTCGAAGGTGGAAGGCCATTTCGTCTGCCTGCTTAGGGTTTAGGGTTTAGGGTTTAGGGAATTTCGTCTGCCTGCATGTGGAATGGAAGTTTCCGAAAATTAGTGGTGCGTGATTTTGGTGGTCCTCACAATTTCGGATCCTGCTGTCTAGGGTACTATATTAGGGTCCCCAATTTTGGGAAACTCCCATGTGGGTAATACAGAGGCCTTAGAATTAGAATACAGTTAAGGCTTCTTACACAGGGGCATATAGGCCAAGACTACTAAGGGTCGGGGAATCCAAGGGAAATCATAGGGTTTAATATTGTACAGGGACGTAGCAACTTAAGGGTTGTCAGGAATTTCATTCCCATAAGGGCTCAATGCTAGAAAAACAACTCGGGATATCTTATGGCTTAAAAAGCCGACAGAAGCCGAAACGGCTGCTAACTTCGAACTCGGAGTAATGTAGGAGCCTGATTAAGAAACCTTGGGCCTTTATCAGGGTTCCTTATATGAATCCTACTATTTGGGGGGGTTATAGGGCCAGGGTTTCTTAATCAGGTTCCTACATTAGGGCTTAGGGTTTGGGGCTGAGGTAGTAGCCAGGGAGTAAAAAATATAGACTTGTATTTCATAATGGTCCCCTTCAGAAAAAAGTATTAAAGTATGGTACTCCAAAGCCCAGACATTGGAGCATAAGGACAAGGTGACCATAAGATGATAGCTTAGCTGCGTGTTCTTTTCCATTTGAGCCTAAATAGCCTGAACCCCAAACCCCAAACCCAAAGTTCTGGGAAGCATACTTGGAGGATCAGGGGACTTAGTAAGTAAGGTTATAATAAGTCCCCTAATTGGGGTTATAAGTATTTATAAGTATAGTTACCTTAATTATGAACCTATAGTTACTAAGTCCCATGACCCTTCAAGTAGACCCTAAACCCAAAAACCCTAAAGATCCCTTTAAGGAACCCTAAAGATCCCTTTAAGGAACCCTTTCGATCCCTTTAAGGAACCCTGTAGATCCCTTTAAGTACTCCAAAGCCCAGTATTTCGAGCGCTGCAGGAATTCGCGGGTGCCGAGGGCTCTCGGAGCGCAAAAACCTAGTGCCCCAAAAAGCCACATAAGCAAGACAATTAGGATAGGGATATCCTGTTGAGGGTATGAATCCTGCATTACCCATAATAAGGAATATACCATAATTCTCATAGTTTAGGGTCCTTAAGGTAATGCAGGATGTATATCATCAACCGTCCCATTGCAATCTGGAGGCTTCGCACTCCTCAGATTTGGTTAGTGGAGCCTGGTTGGCTCAGCATTACAGGGCTGCACACCTGTTTTCCGCTACGCTCAAGGGCCCTCATGTCGGCGGGAGTCGCATCTGAAAGGCTGCATGAAATGAGCAACGATTGCACTCAACAACCTCTTTTTAAGAGATCCAGGCCGGTTTAGGCTGGATCTACGGCCTGCAACGACAACCAGTTTGCTGAAAGAAGGTCCCTCAACTGATGAGGTGGCTTAGCTTTCGTCAGGTGATCAGCTAACTGATGGTCGGTATCGGCCCACTTGAAAATTTCCTTTAGGGCTTCACCCTCAGGATCAAACTCTTCTGCGCCCTCTTTGATAGCGCCGACATCGATGGTGAGCCGCTTCTCTTGCGTGCTGCTCACCGGCCCATCCTTCGTGAGAAGGTCGTAAAGCGAACGGCAGTCGGTAACGGGGTGCACAGTGAAAATCTCAGGAGGCAAGGAACCCGACTGCACTGGCTTATAGCTCTCGATCAGAATCTCTGCCATGAGCTCTCTCAAGAAGATGCCGCTGTCGAAGGCAGTATCCATGGCCATCGTCTCAGCAGCGAGGGTGCTCCGGCATTGACGCTGTATGCGGTGACTGCGCCAATCCATCAAGGAGGCCTGGTCACCTTGCACAGTCATCACATCCGGCCCGGCGATGAAGGTCAAGAAGCCGGCCTGTGACTTGAGGCCTTCTGCGTTTGCCCACGAGGCGTCACTAAAGGCGATGATCTTCGCCTTCTCCAGTGGAACCGGCACAAAGGTCAACTGCCAGTCCTGCGTCTTCTGGGCCTCGCGGAGCAGCTTGTTGATTTCGACCAAATTGGTCACGGTCGGCTGCCCGGACATATTCAACGATGTTGCTGCCGCCAGGTCCGGCCGGGTCTGTCCGATCAGCCAGTGTAGGCACCCTCCGCCGGACTTCAGCTCGGTCACTTCGGAGGGAGTTAAAGGAGACAGCGGGGTGACCGTCCTCCAGCGCGGAACCGTGTAGACGGAAATCGCCTGGATGAACTTCTCCTGCGACAAGGTCACGACGCCGTCCTCTCGTTTGGTCACTTGCTTCCCTCCGTACTCGAGCACGCGTTCTTGCCTCGAGTCCGCCCAGGATCCGAAGTCGAAGGCCTTGCGCACGCGGTCCAAGATCGGGTCTGCTGTGCCTGGCTCGCCGGTTCCCAGCAAATCGTCGACGTGCGCTCCGAGGACCAGAATCAAGCGGCCCGCCTGGTAGTACATGAAGAGCGCCTTGTCCAGCGTCGACTGGATGAAGCCGATCTTCTTCAAGGTGTCCCGCAGGTGCCGCCAAAACAGTCTCGGGGAGTTCGCCAGTCCGAATATTCCACGGACCACCAGTAGCAGCTGTCCTGCCACTAGTCCCGGAAGTCCTTCTCGTGGCTGCCGAAGAAACAGTGGTTCTTTCCGGCTTGCCAGGGACTGGTCCCCTTGGAGAAAAGCGCCCGTCACGTCGGAGTTGAACAGGAACCAGGTCGGCATCGATGCTGCTATCTGCAAGATGACCATCAGGCCCATCCGCGTCATGGTCGGCGCATCTCGCCGCAGCGTCAGCAAATCCGGGTCTTTGTCCCCGCGGCACACCAGCCGTGCCTTCGCCTTCAGTGGCAACCAGGGAAAGGCTGCGTTCTTGTTCCTGTAGCACACTCGCGTATCCAGGATACGAGCTCGGTCGAAGCTCGCCTCCACCGCAGCGCTGGCCTCCAGTGCGAGCGGTTCCACCGCGTCGTACTTGGTCCACACTCCCCACTCCTTCACGAGCGCCTCGTGGTAGTCTTGCAACTGGTGCTCGGGGATCATAGAGTAGGGGATCTCCTTCTCCAGCGCCTTCTGCTCCTTGCGCGTTGCCCAACAGTCCCGCTGAACAGTCGGAGCCAGCACTTCGTCCGCAAACTCCGCGCTCGGCTTCGCGTAGAGCTCTTCCATCGACGCCGGCACGTAGAGGTTGCAAAGGTGAACGTGCGCTTCTTCGGTGGGCTCCAGTTCCTCGTCCTCTATCCTGAGCCGTTTCGGTTCGGGCTCCTCTGGGTGCGGAGCAGCGTAGCTCCTCATGGTTGGCGAGGGCTGCGTGTTGTCTGTTCCCACCGAGGGTGCCGCCGACGCCGAAGGTCCTGGTTCTGCTCGTCGCGGCGAACGTTCACGTTCTCCGTGTGCGTCTCCTGGTGGTAGCGCTTGATCGGGTAATCGAGGTCCACGAGGAGTCGCGGGTAGGAGTCCCGGCGTGGGTGGCAGTGTTCCGGCATCGCTGAAGTCGAGCTCTTCGTCGAGGCCTCCGAAGAAAGGGATGATCTCTCCGGGGTCGTGTGCCACAGCTTCCTGTGGCCCTTGACCTCTAATGTCCTCGTAGGTCCCGGGAGGTGCATCTAGCGCCGCCTGCAGGTCTGCTTCTTGAACTCGCCACAGCTCCGTTCCGTAAGCTGGTCGAAGCTGCTCCTTGGACACCAAGAGGCATCTTCCACCTGAGGTCACCCAGTAGTTCGACTGCTCGTGGCTCCCCTTGTGCGGTCCGATGATGGTGCCTCGGTACCAGCCTGCAGGAACCCTGCGAGGTTTGCGAGACTTTGGGTCTTTCTTCATCTTGGCCTCTCTCCAAAAAGCCACCAGCTCACCCGGCTCGTAGGTTTTACGGCTAGGCCTGTCCAAGCGGAGCACTGCTTGACGAAGTGAGTCGTTCACGGCAAACTCGGCCACTTTCACGTCCGCAGTGGCCCTGACATGTTGCCGCCGGCGTAATTCGGCGTCCTGTTCCAGGCCTTGAAGCGCCTGCACTTTCCCGTCAGGACTCAGCAAGTCCCAGGGAGTCTTTGGACTTTTGCCGAAAAGCCACTCATTTGGTGAGCAGCCGCAGGTCCTGACCTTGTCGTTCATAGCGGCGCCCACCATCGCGCCCAACATCTTCATGTCTGCTGCGCCGGCCAGGGAGTGCTCGTCAATGGCCTTCGCAGCCGCGTACCGGAAGGCCCGGTTGTAGGACTCCACTTGTCCTGCCTGCCAGTGGCTCTGCGCTGCAATGGGCTCGATCGCGGAGCCCAGGCCACTGATCTTGTCCGCGAAATCGCTCTCGAAGGCGCCGTCCTGGTCCACCACAAGCACGTCCGGGTATCCGGCCCACGTCGCCCACACCGTAGTGAAAACCTCGAACACGTGTGCCGGCACTCGCGACTCAACAGGGTGGAACACGTTGTAGGACCCGTTGGGCTCGAGGATGTGCAAGAAGAGGTGGCCTTCCTTGTTGTGGTCGTGAAGGTGAACGAAGTCGAGGCACACCCGTGAGTTAAAGGGCCCGGTCGCCTTCAGGGAAGTAGGTCTCGGAGGCAAAGGTCGCCGGGTCCGCTCACATGTGGCACATCTCAATCGCCTGCTCAGCGCCACGGCTTCCGGGGCGACTTTCTGGTTCTGCGCCAGGGCTCTGGTGAAATCTTCTTGCCGAGGGTGCCCGAGATTACGGTGCATTCGGACTAACGCCTTGGCAAGGTTCTTCTCGTTCGGCTTCAGAGGCCCGCCTGAGAACCAACATTCCCCAGCGAGGTCCTGCCGCACCAGACCTTCGTGCTCGAGTCCTTCTTGTATCTCGTCTCGAACGGGGACGTCTTCGGGAGCGGGCTGTACTGCAGCTGGTCTCGCCGGAGCGGGTGCATCAGGCTCTCCCGGCGCGTAGCCCAACACGAAGATGCCGACACGGACGGGTGTAACAAACCGTTCTCGAGGTGCCTGGGCGTCCCGAAGGTACTCGGTCTCGATGGTGACGCTGTCGTCGTTGAGCAGCAGCACCGAAGCCCTGTGGCACTCCTCTAGGCCTGCCTTCACACGCTTGGCCTTCGGAAGGTGGGCCACTTGAACTGACGCCAACTGCCAGGGAACCAAGGCCTCGACCTTCTTGTACAAGTCCGTGCCGGGGTGGACCTGAAGAGAATGAGCCGTCTTTCGGCCCAGCAGCTCCTGGGCCTGTTCCAACAACGGCCTCCAATCATCTTCCCTGCGGACTGCGTCCACGTAGCACACGGCTCGCCTGGTTGTCGGTGCCCAAGTCGCAGTAGAACCGAAGTCTTCGGCCGCAACAACGTCCAGGTAGGCCCGGCAGATCGCGTCCCCCAAAGCTGGCGGGTAGATCGGTCCGCCGTGGTTTGCCGCGTGGTCTTCGGTATCTTCACAGCACCGGGCTGCCAGCCCTTGGACCAAGAGAGGATGCGTCGCAAGGAATCGCACCGTCCGCTTGCCAATGCTAGCCTGCCGCGCCACAAAGTTGAACGTGCAGAGGTCGGCCGCAGTCTCGTAGTGGTGCTCCCGCAGTACTTGTAGTTCAGGTAACCCATAAAGATCGCCTGGTACTTCTGCGAGTGCGTGGCCGCCCCTGCGCTTCTGTTCCTCGAAGACACGCTTGGCAAGGTGCAGGTAAATCTGGTCGTCCTGTTGCTGCGCGACCGTGTCCGGAGTTTGGGCTTCGTGGCGCAAGGTTGACCAGGGCGTGCACGGAAACTCGATCACGACGAGCCTCGGGTTAAACTTGCCCAGCACGTCGAGCAGCCACTGCTGGTCCGCGGGCCGCCTTAGGTCCACTCCGTACCGTAGGTCTATTGGCTGCAAAACCTTTAGACCCCAATGCGCCACAGCCCGCACCGACACCATGGAGCTGCCGCCGAAGACCTCGACTAGATCATAGCCAAACTTCCTGCGAGGCCACCGGCTATTGTCCAACCGATTGCTGGTCATTCGCCGCTCCAGCCGAGCGGCCTTCAACGCATTTCTCGCACAATTCGCCATCCGGCGGACTTGCCCGCGTCGAAGCTGAACTGGTCCGCCTGGTTCGGTTTCGTCTACTCCTCCGGGTCCGTCACCACCGCCACGTCCGAGAAGCTGCTGCTCGAAATGGACACCCGGTCCGCTTCGGAAACCTTGGTGCCACTCTTCTTGACCGCCGGCGCCTCCTTGTTCGCCAGCTCCTTCTTGACCAGCGGCTCCTCGAATCCGACCCGCAGCTTGGGCCCACCGCCCGGATTCAGGTACTTCTCCCGAGCTCGGGCTTCGTGATCTCGCCGTGCCCGGGCCTCGTCCTGGCGACGATCCTCCAAGCGTTGGGCCGCCACCCGTTGCACCCGCTCGCGCTCCTCCGGCGTGAGCTTGCGCAGGTCCACCGGCTCCTCGGTCTCCTCGTCCTCCTGCATCGGCCCCTCGGTGTGGCCACTCGTCGAGGAGAGAGCCGTCGAATCCTTGCGCTTGGTGACAGAGGTCTTGCGCGCGGTCGGCACAGTATCCTTCGGTGGGGCCGCCAAGGATGGAGCCGAGCGTGACGAGTAACACTCCGGCAAGCTTGGAAAGCGGCCCCCGGTGTCGGGAATGACGCCCTTCTTGCTGATCTTGCCTCCGGGGTACATTCGGCGGCCGTGATCCTTGACATACACGGGCATCGTCTCCCCGGTGTACGGCACGGTGTAGGTCACGGCTTTCCACATCTTCCCGCACGCCAAGCACTCCATGAACTGGCCGTGGTTGTTGCCCGTCCTCCTCGCCAGGTCGGGGTGGTGCCGGCACTGCTCCACCTTTTGAGGATACATTCCCCCGGTCCGCTTGATCTGTCCCGGAGCTGTCGTCGTCACTGGAGGTGCTGTGCCCGGCATCATCTCGGGGCCCTTCTCGACTTTCGCCATTGCATCCAGGCCCGCCATCACGGAAGGAGCCCGGTGCTTGGCCAGCCTCATCGTCACGATGTGGGCCTCGAGGTCCTGGTGGAGGTGGATCAGGTCCACCAGCCCCGTCGCCATGCGCCCCCAGTCGGCGCATCGCTGCCTGCGGTTGCTCGAAGAAGCCGCCGCCGAGGATGGTCGCATGTGATCGATCGCGCGGTTGAGGTCTACTCTTGCTGTGCTCGGAGCCAAACTCACCGAGCGGAACCTCAAAGCGACCCTTCCGATGTGAACGAGGGATATCAAGGTGGGCTGCATGGTGTAGGTCAAGACGCTGGGCACTGCTGAGATCAAAGTGATGCACCTTCTTGTGGCAAACTAGTCGTAATTCAGAAGGATCAGCATGTAAAACCGTGCCATCTTTCAACGTCACATGTACCTTGGACGGGGGGCTAAGCATGTTGACCTTATCAAGCTGCTTTGCGCCCTTGCCGAAGAAGTACGTCACACCTACCCAAGGCTCCCTCGGAACATTTGTCACCCCTCTCCACGAGTCGATCACAGGCTCTGCCTCGTTGGATAAGAGGGTGACACGCACATCCTGTAGGTCCCGCGGGTCGGGTCCATCCAAAAATTCCTCAGGGCTGAACAGTTCACGTCGTGGCCTGCGATGGTGCCGCACATACACTTGACTGTCGATCAAAAACTCCCACATATCGGTTGGTACTGTGCATGGCTGTGCTTGCTCTTTTGCGGTAATGGGCTCATACACATGTGTGGGGGCGAAATGATTCCCGAACTCACCCGGTGCAAACGGACTTTCTACTCGGGCCTCGGCCTTGGAAGTCTGACATGCTGACCTCCCGTCGCCCTCGAACAGCACGCCCGGGTAGCCATTCTTGCGGGCCACAACTCCTTTAGGCCATTCCTCGATCTCGTCGATGGCCAGCACGAGGTGTCCCGTGACGTCAATGTAGATCGGGGCCGTCACGTTGAGCTCTCTCAGCACCACCTCGCTCCGGCCCACGTCGATGCACGCGTCGACGAAGACCAACCAGTCCTGGCCAGCAAGGAAGGGAATCTTCGAACCCACAGTGTCCGGAATGGAAGACGAACAAATCACGGAGTTGGCCCCACGAATCCCGATCGGCACATACCATCGCTCCAGGGAAGTCACCGGTTCGCCCGGGCCGAAACAATAAGTTTCGGACTCAGGCTCGATCTTCGGCTGCAGGCTGAACCTGCGCTCCCACACCGCGTTGAGGCTCTGGAGGATGCTCGTGCCCGCCACGGTGTTCTCACATGCGGTGTCGAGCGTCAGGTAGGTCTTGCCGTCGGAGACCGTCGGAGAGCGCCGCATGTTCGAGTGAACCGCCCGGGGCGACGACAAGGAGAAGTCGTAGTCCACTGTGCGAACCGCCCGGGTCGCCACCATAGCCTTGCGAAGGCTCTCCACATCAACGGCCTTCGCAGAGTTGTCCAGCAACTCCCGCACGGTCGCTCCCGTAGGGGTAGCCATCGTAAGGCCAAAGTGCTCGAACGCTTTCTTCACCGCCTCCGGGGCCGGGCTTGGCGACATGACCGGCATATTGGCTGACTTAATCTTCTCCTTCACGGCCTCGGCCTGCACGAGGAAGCGGTCCGTCTTCACCTGCGTAGCTGCATCGGCGCCGGCAGAGGCTGCGACCGACTCCTTAGCCCGACCTCGCACCCGGTTGATGCCACGTGCAACGGCTCGAGCTTCTGCCTCTAGCGCCGCCGCCGAAGGGCTCGAGGTCGTAGTTGTCATAGGGGTCGTAGTCGGGGCCGCCGTAGGGGTCGGAGAGCTGGTCGTGGTAGGGCGCGACGCCACATAGGTCGATCGCTCCTCATATCCATAACGCTCCGCTTCCCATGCCGCCCACTGCTCCGCCGTGTACTCGCCGTCGTAGCCGTACCAGTCCTCGGCGTCCTCGGTGTTCTCCTCGCCTGTGGTGCGGGAGGCTTCATTCGCGGACTTCCCGCGGCACTGAGGATCGCCTTTCCAATGGCCGACTTGACCACAAATGGCGCAGGTGGTCTTAGCCTTCAGCTCCTCCAAGGACATTCCGCGGGCCTTCCCGAGCCCCTTCTTGCCCTTGGACTTCCCTTTGCCTTTGCCGGCCCCCTTTGATCCCTTGGCCTTGCCCTTTGAGCCGCCGACGTAGAAGCCACGTGCCTGCACGGCCTTTGCCAGCCGCTGCCTATTCTCCCTGTGCGTCTGGAAGCACGTGTGCAGCTCCCGGGCCATGTCCTCCGGGATCTCGTAAGCGAGCTCGCATTCGGCCAAGTTCTCGACGGGGTCGTGGTCGTAGAGAAAGTTCTGGAGCTGCTCCTCGGTCGCATTCCAATCCGGAGCTTTTCCCCAAAAGTCCCACTCTTCACGGTGAGTCTCGTGTGCCCCCCTTTGCCGTCCTCGATGGCCTTGGTCGGGACGAGCAGAAGCACCGGCGCGGACGGTAACGTTCTGGTACAGGAGCTCTACCGCCTGCTTCAGCTTCTTCCAGTCGTACTCACCCGAGGTCCTGAGCAAAAGGTTCGCTTGGCGCTCCGTGGACAGCTGGGCGTGCTCGAAGAAGAAGTAGATCATGATCTCGTCGGGGATCACCAAGTTCGCCTCTCGGCAGCGACGAGCTGCCCGGTCCATGGCATCCGCCGTCTCGAGCATGGTGTACTGGCGGTCGCTCAAGTTCAGCTTAAAGAAGCCCTGCATCGCAGAACCCACCTTGTGCATGCGCTTCTCGTCGTACTTGTCTTGCAGCAACTTGAGAAGCACCTGCCATCCGGAGTCAACTCCAAAGGTCCGGGCCGGGATATCCTCCAAGTAGTCCGCCGCTTCGCCCTCCAGAGCCGCGTGCAAGCGGAGGCCTATCTCGGAGTCGTCGATGATGTTCTTGGCGATCTCCACGTAGCTGTCGACCTTCGCCGCGTACTTCTTGAAGCACTTAGGGTCCTTCCGCTTGTCGCCGTCAAACACGGGTGCCGTAGGAAGGTTCCCACGAGGTCGCCGCTGAGCTCGCGCCTTGCCATCATCGTCCTTCGCGGCCGTCTTGGCGTCGCCGTGATTGCCAAGTGCCGGCCGCCTCCCGTTAGAGGCTCCTCCAGACGATCCCGCCTGAGAGCCCGTTCTGAGACCTTGGCGGCCTCTCGCCGAAGCGCCACCTCGAGGAGGTTCCGGAAGTAGCTCTTCGTCCTGATCATCAAGGAGGTCAGGATGCTCCTCTTCAGCCTCTTCACCGTCAAGGTGCTCAGAATCTCCGTCACCAGGTGGTTCTTCAGGCTGGTCGTCCAAGAAGTCGTCGATGGTGCCACCGGGAACGGGGGACGACATCGAGAGATCTGGGGCACGCTACCAATGCAATCTGGAGGCTTCGCACTCCTCAGATTTGGTTAGTGGAGCCTGGTTGGCTCAGCATTACAGGGCTGCACACCTGTTTTCCGCTACGCTCAAGGGCCCTCATGTCGGCGGGAGTCGCATCTGAAAGGCTGCATGAAATGAGCAACGATTGCACCCATATGAACCCCTTTATAGTGAAGCCCATTAGGGTGGGGATATCCCTATGAAATGCTTATGCGTATGTCCTTTTTGGGCCCTTAATCCCCGACCTCCCGATGTACACGGACAAGGACGCAACACCGATTTCGCTCGATCCTGTCCTAAAGGCCTAAACGTCAAAACTGCTAAACCCTAAACCCTGAAACCCCGAAACTCTATACCCCGCAACCCTAAACCCTAAACGCTGAACCCCAAATCCCTGACCCCGGAGCCCCTCCCCTGAGCCCCGAAACTGGCCAACGAAGAACTTTTCAGCCGATCCCGGACACCGTGCCTTTCCGACACAGCGGCGCCACAGCCTCAGGACACCCCACTGCTGGGGTCTTGTTCAGGGTTTGGGGGTTCAGGGCTTCGCGGCTTCGCGTTTCACCGAAACGCTGAAAACCCCACCCCCATTTCCGTAATCTAAACAACCAGAACCCCCACGTTCAGCCAGGGTGTAGGGCTTATGGGGCTCAGGGCTTATAGAGGTTATAGCGGAGGGGTTTGGGCGTTTTCAGATTTCGGGCTTTGGGTGTAAACAAAATTTTTGGGATTTATGGATGTCTGGGGCTTTGAAAATAGTTAAGGGTTCAGGGAGATAGGGCTAATGGTTTAGGGGTTTAGGTGTTTGGGCTTTAGAGTTTTTGCCAATTTGGCAATTGACTGACATGACTTCGCCTTGCTAAAACTCTAACTCTCAATTTCATAGGGACCTGTTTGGGTGCCTTTTCGGGGTTCCTTTAAGAGCTCCTATATGGGCTCCTACAAGGGTCCCTTTAGGGGAGGGGGGTAGGGTATTATACTTCCTCAAATAAGCCTTATTCGGATATTTGATAATTCTAACCCTACACCCTAAACGCTTGCTCTCGCACTTTTCCTCAACATGGTCGGCGTGTTCTTGATTGCCCATGGCACTTGCGGCAGATGCATGGCTGACGGCGCCTAGTAGAAGGTAGAAGCCTTAGTGTTGAGTCCTTGTTGAACCCATGCGGGCCCATATAGAACCCCTGTAGTAGAGCCGTTGGAAAATCGAGAGTCTAGAGGCCATGTAGAACCATAGGAAGCCCATGCCTGTCGAACCTGTACAGTTCGAACCAATATGGAACCCGTATAGTAGAAACCCTAAACCCTAAACCCTAAAACCCTAAACCCTAAACCGGAAACCCAAACCCTAAAGCCTCATAGCGACAGAAGTGCCAGGACAAGGACACGTTGGCTAGCGAGTCTTTCGGCATTTCGTGTCGACTTGGCAGCTGTCGGATGCTTAAAGTTAACCTTAAGGGTTTAATTATTGGATTATTATTAAAACCTGATAAATATAAGGAATATAAATCTTACGATCACATTAATAATGTTAATAATGAGACTGATAAAGGTCAGGGCTCAACCCTAAACCCTAAACCCTTTAAAGGTCAGGGCTCCGGGCTTACTTGAAGGCTCACGGGACTTAGTAAGTAAGGTTATAAGTAGGTTATAATTAGGATAACCCCACTTAGGGGACTTATAACCCCAATTATAACCTACTTACTAAGTCCCATGATCCTCTAAGTAGACCCTAAACCCTAAACCCCATAGATCCCTTTAAGGAGCCCTTACTAAGTCCCATGATCCTCTAAGTACGGACCAGGCTTCTGGGCTAAGGGGTTGCGGGTTTGGGGACGAGAGGTCAAAGCTTCGGCCTCAAGCTTCAGAGCTTCCCAAAGAGCCCAATACCCCTTAATTAAGGAATATACCTTAAATTACAAGGCCTAGGGTTCCTTTAAAGGGATCTATAGGGTTTAGGGTTTAGGGGATTCTAATACCCCCTTAATTAAGGAATATAGCTTAAATCATCATATATGAGTCCCCCTTATAATTTTAGGTAGATTCCTTAATTAAGGGGTATTGGGCTCTCTGGGTTCGGGTTTCGGATTTCAGGGTTTAGTCCCTATTATAACACGGCACCTATTCTTTAGGTTACCCCAAAAGGGATCGTCATTTTGACAACCACCCATGTATTGGTGGACACGCCTCGCTCCAAAGCGGCCAGGACAGCCCCCGCCAAGTCAGTTCAAAAATGAAAGCCTCCCCCTTGTGTTGGGTAACGAGCTGCTTGCTCCGGGCAAGGATGCAGAGGCTCGCCCGCTACCTCAGACTAAGAGGATGGAGACTGTCGGCTGCATTAAAGCACGCAGCTGTTCTCACTTCGCAGCTGTACACAGGATTCCCAGAAAGCAAAGCGCCATGCAGGGTACGTCTCAGGAGGTCCACGAGCAAGTCCCAATTCCGCCTTCAGAACGTACCGTACCTCTTCGAATTCATTCAGAAACCTCGCTTGAGAGCAAACAATGTCATCCTGCGCGATCTGCAGCTGATTGGTGCCGATGGCTGCGCTAGCATGATCAGCACTAGTACTGCAACAACTACCGTTAGTCATACGGTTGATGACATAAATCCTGCATTGCCTTAATGACCCTATGCTATGGGAATTATGGTACACTCCTTACCATGGGTAATGCAGGATTTATATAATCAACCGTATTGTCTTTAGTGCTTTGGTTACCTGCCAGACAAGTGGCGAACCATCGTGCGAAGGGCCCCCTAAACCCTAAACCCTAAACTCTAAACCGTGCAGAACAGAGCGCTGCATGCTGGAGGGAAACGACTTTCTGGGAGGCTTCTTAGTTCTAATAATATCCCTTTGAGGGTTCATTTAAGGGATCCTTTTAAAGGGGTCTATAAGGATTACTATAATGGGTATTATGGGACTAAGTATAGGGGCCTTAACAATTTGAGTAGTGCTTTAGGGCCCATAATGCTATACTTATAATGCGCAACCACCAAAATAGTGTTGTTGATTGTTTTTGCCCCTTATTACTGCCTTTATTCTTCTTGCTGCAGTCACAGCTATCATTCTTGCTCCTAGCATCCCTCATATGTGTTGCTAGTTGCTGCTACTTTCACCACTGCTGGTATCAGCATGAGCATGAGTGACGAGGACTCAGCATCAATCAAGCCAAGCTCGCTTCTGAACAGGATGAATGGGCTTGTTGTCGGACAGCAAGTTTCCCAGATTCCTAAACCCTTATATGTCCTAAATTGTAAAATGCACACCTTACCCAGAACCCCTATCTACCCTCGATTAGACCCTGAATACCGACTACCATATACACCTATTTAAGAAGAGGGTCCTGGTATACAAACTAGAAACTCGGAACCCTAAACCTAAACCCCAAGAAGCTCTAGAAAGTCTCGATGCTCCGGCTTTGGGGAGGAGGGGCTGCTAGAAGGGGTTTAAGGCTTAGGGCTTTAGGGCTTTAGGGTTTTAGGGTTTAAGGGCTTGAGAGGTTTAGGTTTCAGGGTTTTAGGGTTTAGCGTTTAAGGCTTAGTCAGACTGGGCGATTCGGGGACCCCATATTTCTCCGTGGTGGGGTCCCCTTGTTTTCTGAAACTGCCCCCCAAAATGACAACAAGTATACATGGAACACCGGCGCTCACACGAGTTTTCTCTGGAGCCGCTCGGGGAGCAAAACCTGTCCAGAACCTAGTGAATTAATTGAGCTTTACGGCTAACGGCGTTGCGGCCATTACCTAAAGGCCATCGAGGGATGGAAGGGATGGACCTGGAGCCTGGTAGAGTTAGGGAAGAGGCGAAGCAACAGATCTGGCGGAGCATGTATAGGGTTTAGGGTTTAGGGTATGAGGTTCTGGACTTGTAGGCGGAAACAGATGCCAGTCCGATGGAAAGCAGCGGAAAGAAACAGCCCTGCCAAGGAGCGTTTTTGCGGATCCTTGGCCATGATCGGTAGGGCATCATGTGAATTGCGTCATTCAGTGGGCAGAGAGCGCGACCGAATGCGAAGGTGGATAACAATAACTGCGATTCTGCAGTTCAGACCCGGTTGCCTTGCCGCGTTTGGGTAGGCTTCTCCCGGTAATTATACCTCTCCATCTGTGTACAACTGGAGTCGGCCAATCTGGTGGCAAGGAAGGAACGGCTAAGCGCACCTCACCCCAGATACAGCCAGCAATAGCTACCAGATGGGAACAGCGAAAGCCAGTGAAACGATGGCAGAACCCTCTACGAACCCACAAGCCTGCCAGTCACATCGCATTGCTCAGAGCCTGCGCGGATGCGAAGACCATCGTCGAGGTACTCTTTCTGTCTTAAGTCCGTGCTCTCGTGAAAGGACTCGGAAGGTCTCCCGATATCGCTGAGGTCAACGGGAGAGCGCTGCATGCGCTGCTCCTGCAAGCTCCAGCCTAGGTGGGGCTTTTAAAGCTATTGAAAAATATTAGTAAATAAGATCCTCTTAAGCCCAATAAGGGAAAATATAAAATGTCCCAAAGCCCTACCTAGCAGCTCAAAGCAGGCCCGTGATGTCGCTCTCGCACTTGCTTCCGTCTTCCCCTATCCGCCACCAGCTTCGACAAAGAGCCGTTTAGGGACTCACTGCCAGTTTCCTTTTTTTCAGGGCCAGCAAGTGCTGTGGAAGCGAGAGTTCTTCTGGCTTCCTCCCGCTCGTTGTGCATGTCCTCAGCCAAGGCAGTCGACCGATCGTACCGGCTACCTTTCGGGGGAGGGGTCCTTGTATCAACAGGCAGGGTTTGCATGACCTAGGCATGGGAAAGAGGCACCATCCGCCTTCAGAGGGGGTCGCGATTGGTCGGCATGTGCAATGCAGCGCAATGGAGAGTAAAGCGCTAGAGTGAGAGAAGAGCGAAGAGAGAGAGAGAGAGAGAGAGAGAAAGAGAAAGAGAGAAAGAGAGAAAGAGAGAAAGAGAGAAAGAGAGAAAGAGAGAAAGAGAAAGAGAGAGAGACAGAGGGAGGGAGGGAGAGAGCACACCGGAGCGGGAGAGAGTCGGCTAGCGGTCGCACAGGAAAACAAGAGGTGGGAGGGGGGGAGGGGCGACCACTACCGGAGGGAGGGGGGAGGGGGGTATGGGACTATACTTCCTTAAACAAGCCTTATCAAATCCTTTATTGTGGTATTAAGGCCCCCTACCTCCCTCCCCCTGCCCCCCTAAGGGTCCCTATGATTGTTGGATGCTGGCGAAATGTCGGCAGGCTCACGGCATTCAAGCTGCCCCACATAAATTTTCGATTGTCCAATAACCGATAGAGAAGGTCAGCATGACGGCACTGGTGTCTGTACGTACAACTTATGGAAGAAAACGACAGCAAAAGATGGCTCCGTCCAATGGGATGGTGACCACGGTCCGCCTTATCGTCCCCTTTCTCTATCGATGTCATGATGCTGCCTAATTCGGAACATGTACCATTGCGGTGCTAGGACCAGCGATGTGTAGAAAGCAAGAGGCCAAGATGCCGAAACTGTAAACCAGGTGCGGTAGCAACGTTTCAAGTCTCGCGTCGTGTTGTGGTGCGGTAGTGTGGTGGTGTGGTGGTGCGCATGCGATGGTGTGGTGGTGCGGTGGTGTGTTGGTGTTTTTGGTGTGTTGGTGTGTTGGTGTGTTGGTGTCGTGGTGCGGTCGTCTGGTGTGGTGGTGTGGTGGTGTGGTGGTGTGGTGGTGTGGTGGTGTGGTGGTGTGGTGGTGTGGTGGTGTGGTGGTGTGGTGGTGTGGTGGTGTGGTGGTGTGGTGGTGTGGTGGTGTGGTGGTGTGGTGTGTATGCTTGTCAGTTTGCTTGCTTGCTTGCTTGCTGGCTGGCTGGCTTGCTTGATTGCTTGCTGGCTGGCTAGCTTGCTTGCTTGCTTGCTTGCTTGCTTGTTCGCTTGTGTGGGTTCCTTGTTTGCGTGTTCGCTTGCTTGCTTGGTTGCTTGGTTGCTTGTTTGCTTGTTTGCTAGTTTGCTTGCTTGCTTGCTTGTTCACGTGTGCGTGCGTGCGTGCGTGCGTGCGTGCGTGCGTGCGTGCGTGCGTGCGTGCGTGCGTGCGTGCGTGCGTGCGTGCGTGCGTGCGTGCGTGCGTGCGGGCGTGCGTGCGTGCGTGCGTGCGTGCGTGCGTGCGTGCGTGCGTGCGTGCGTGCGTGCGTGCGTGCGTGCGTGCATGCGTGCGTGCGTGCGTGCGTGCGTGCGTGCGTGCGTGCGTGCGTGCGTGCGTGCGTGCGTGCGTGCGTGCGTGCGTGGGTGGGTGGGTGGGTGGGTGGGTGGGTGGGTGGGTGGGTGGGTGGGTGGGTGGGTGGGTGGGTGGGTGGGTGGGTGTGTGTGTGTGTGTGTGTGTGTGTTTCGCTTGTTTGCTTGTTTGCTTGTTTGCTTGGTTGCTTGTTTGCTTGGTTGCTTGTTTGTTTGCTTGTTTGCTTGTTTGCTTGATTGCTTGCTTGCTTGCTTGGTTGCTCGTTCGTGTTGGTTTGCATGTGTATTTGTTTGTTTGTCTGCTTGGTTGTTTGTTTGCTTGTTTGTATGCGTGTTTGTGTGTGTTTGTTTGTTCGGCTGCTTGATTGCTTCCTTGCTTGTTCGTATGTTTGTTTGTTTTGCTTCTTTACTTTGGGTGTTCGTGTTGCTTCTTTGGTTGATTGGTTTGTTGGTTGGTCGGCTGCCTGGTCGGTTAGTTGGCTGGCTGGCTGGCCAGCTGCGGCTGGCTGGCTGGCTCGCTGGCTAGCTGGTTGGTTGGTTGGTTGGCTGTTGCTTGGTTTTGTTTGGTTGGTTGTCGTTTGTTTGTTCCCGAAAGCTCTGCGAAAGGTTCTTTGGAAAACAAATTTGCAAGCTTCCACTGCACACATATACACTGCTTGCACCTACACTGCGTGCTTACACATGCCACACCAACATTGCCCTGCTAGATTTCGGATAATCGCTGTCTAGTTATTGTTTGTCTATGTGTTTTTCGTGTTGGCGTGCTGTTTGTGTTTGACTGCAATTTGTTTGTTTGGCGGTTGCGGCAGCAGTAGCGGCAGCGGCAATGGTAGAAGATATCACGGCACATACAACAATAATGCTCATAGTGGTGGCAGCAAGTATCAGCAGTAATGTAATGGAGGAAGAAGAAGAACGGAAGTAACACGCTATAACCTATAACCCTAAACCTTGAGCCCGAAACCAAAAACTGAGCACAAACACTTGAAACAGAGTCGCCTGAACCCTGAAGCCCTTAAACCTGCAAGGGACAGGCACTCGGATGCTTGCAAAAGGTATCTGTGATTGTTTCTTCTTCTGATAGTCCTTGCCAATATTATGTTTGTTGATGTTCCTGAGACGTTAAACCAAGTTCTCTTTAAGGCTACTACGGATTACAATACTACTCCTACGACTAATACTACTACTACTACTACTACTACTACTACTACTACTACTACTACTACTACTACTACTACTACTACTACTACTACTACTACTACTACTACTACTACTGATGATATAAAACCTGCATTACTTATAATAAGGAATATACCATAATTCTCATAGTTGAGGGTCCTTAAGGTAATGCAGGATTTATATCATCAACCGTACTACTGGTGACAACCAATAAAAGTAAGAAGACGAACACACTTAAAATATTGCAAGAATAACAAGAACAAGCACAAAATCATTTATGTAATCATAATAAAAAACTCTCTTGCGGGGCAAAGAGTCGTCGCGAGATGAAGGCTGCGAAAGCACGGCCCAGATCTTCGGAGACTCCTCCGAAGGAACTCTGAAGCAAAGCTGGGGCTCTTACTTAAAGGATCATGGGACTTAGTAACTTTGAAGGGTTCCTTGAAGGGCTCCTATAAGGGATCTACAGGGGTTTAAGGTGCTTAAAGGATCGTGGGACATAGTAACTAGGGTTATACATAACGTAGCTATACTTAAAATTTTATGACCCCAATTAGGGGACTTTCACCTTGCTTACTTGGTCCCCTGATGCTCCAAGTATCAGGACCCAGTACCCAAGTAGCCCTGATAACAACAAGGGCGCCCTGTTTCCTACTCTTCGGGTTCAATTAGGAAGCCGAAAAGAACAGGGCAAAAAGGCACCACTCAGGACCTAGTGCAGGGATTCCTTTCAGGGTGCTGTTCAAGGATTCTATCAGGGATCAAAAAGGGACCTACGTTGGGTTACTTAAAATCCAGAACCCTTCTGTTATTATTTGTTCAGGGTCTTTAGAATTGCGGTTGATGGGTCGGAGATTTCGGGTGCTCAACCCCTAAACCCGTAAAGACTAAATTCCTGAAGCCCCAAACTCCTGAAGCCCTCAAAACTTCAAACCCTTACTTCGTTGTTGGGTGCATAAGCCACCGAAAGTGTACACTGTCAGTTTTATAGTGGGTGAGATTATCCCAAAAAGTGTAAAGTGCATCCACTCAGCTACTAACCTTGCCCTAACCCCCGGCACTACAACCGCTGCAAACCCCTAAACCCCACTCTTATTGTAGAACCTTTATGGTTAAATTCCATTTCGATCCCACTGAAGGTACCCCCAACCCAGAGACTCCAATACCCACACTTAATTAAGGAGTATACCATAGATCATATGAGGGAGCTCTAATTAATATGATACAGTCTCTGGGAAGAGGATCCCCCTTCTCTTTCCTTCCTTCGGAGTCCCTCCCCTAAACCCTAAACCCTAAACCCCAAGTCCTAAACTCTAAACCCTACGCCCTAAATCCCTAACCCTAGACCCCAAGCCCTAAACCCTAAACCGTCCCCCTTCTCTTACCTTCCTACGGAGTCCCTTCCTCCGGAGGAGTCCCAAAGCGTTTGCTTCGGCCCGGCGCCGATGGCCGACTTCTTGGAACCGAAGGCCTCTGCGGGACCTGAGGACTCTCTGGGCTTAGGGTTTAAGTTTATGGGCCTATGGGTACCCCATGTACCTGAATTCTGAGTCAGGGCTTACTGACAAACATATTCAGGGCTTCGGTTTCAGGGGGTTGGCACCACCCATGTAACAAGGGCACTAAGTGCGGGACGAGCATGGACCACGTCGCTTGGACTCTTGGCGCTGCCGCCCTTTCTTCTTGGGCCAAAATGCTCAGTGGTAAGAGTTCATCAATTCTCTCACACACACACAGCACCATTCTCTGTATTTTCTCATGAGGAACGCCCAAGCCTCAATCCATCATTTCCTCAACCCTCAACCCTGACAGGAGAACCGATAAGGACTTATGGGACATTGTTATAGATCCCTTCACAATCCTAGGCCCTGAACTTGCCGTAAACCCTTGTAGAATTCCAAAATTCCGAAAATAGCGGGCCCTAATAAAGTACCCTTATTTCTAGGATCCTCTGTGAAAGGACCCAAAATACAGCACCCCTTGTTTTCGGAAGTCCCACAACTAAAGCCCAACTCAGAGCTCTGCCCATTGCAAGGGTGGGGCCCTGGGTCCCTGTGCTTCCAGGGGCAGCTTTGCCTGCGACAGTTTCGGAGCTTCGGGTTTAGGGATTTGGGGCTTGTACCAGTTTAAGGGTTTTGGTGACTTCTGTCTCGGGTTTTGGGGAGTTTAGGGTTTCCGGTTTGGGAGATTGAGATTTCAAGATGCACATTTCTGGAAGGAGGAGCTGGCTAGAGAAGCGCCCTGATATCCGCCGGAGTGGAAGAAGCATCCCTAAACGGCTCTTCGAACCTTTGCCTTCTTTTGACCCAATCCAGTACAAAA